AAAACAGACCTGGGCATCGATGTTAATGGCGGGATGCATGAATACTGCTATACCAGCCTGCCACTGTTCACCCTGTCCTTGCTCGTCTCGCGAGGCAGCAGCAACGAAGTGCTTCCAACTCCTCTGTCATAGCCTCGTCCTGTACCCTGATAATGACAGAACAGGAAGAGAGAAAGAGAACAAAGGGTGCTGTTATTGTCTTGTACGCGCCACCAGGAAAGTGTTAGCTAGCGCGAGGGTATCCACAGGGAGGTTATTGATTCGTCCGTCAACATCCTCCAAAAGACTCTGCACGATGAGATATGAGATGGATGTGAAAAATGATAGGTGAGATGATATGATGAATGATAAGTGATGATGGAGATGATGATGAGATGATGATGATGATGATGATGACACAGGCAACGACGACCAACAACAACAACAACGACAATGAAAACGACAATGACGACAACGATTGCAATGACGATGACTACGATCAGATACAGTTATGATGGCATTACGATAACAACCATGGAGGATGAGAAACGCTTGCAACAAAGCAATAGAGTAAATAACGATGAGCCACAAGGTGAGGAGCTGCCAGTAAGATAACGCAACCAAAACCGATAAATAGTAGAATATGATATATGTATGAACTGCATGTATGTCATGTATGTATGTATTATAAATTTGTATGCATGTTAAGTATGGTATATGGTAGTAGTACTTGTAAGTAAATATAACGAGAATAGTAAGAACGCGATAATGCGTAGAATAGTTGTTAACAGTAAAGTCCGCAGCTCCGGACAAAACGAACGCCACGCTCGAACAACAACCAAGCGCACCGCCACGCTCCGGAACAACAACGACGCACGCCACGCTCGGGAAACAACAACAGCGCACGCCCACGCCTGCGGACAACAACAAAACGCACGCCACGCTCGGACAACAACCAACAACCACAACGCCACGTCTCGGACAACAACAACAACGCAACGCCACCTGCGAACAACAACAACGCACGGCCACGGCTCGGCACAACAACAACGCAATGCACGCTCCGCACGATAGAGAAGCACGCTCCGAAATTCGACAGAACGGCCACGCTCGGACCGCGCCGACGCACACCGTCGCGGAATCGCTACCTTCGTCGTCGCTCTGCGATGTTTGCCAATCGATTGGAAGCTTCTGCCGCGTCGACGCCGCGCTGCTGCGTACAACGTCCAGTCAGCTAGCGGGTCTCTCGGCTCGCCGCCGCTTGCCGTCCGCTGTCCGTCTCGCCGCGACGCCCTGCCCGAACTTCTCACGTAGGCGACCTCGCTCGCGGGATCTGTCGCCAGCTCGCGGCAACCTACGAAGCAAGGGATCGACGTGAGTCGACGGTGCGCCAATCTATGGGCCGGATTGGTGCCAGGGGCGCTGGGGATTGCGGGTGCACCGATGTTCTCATACTGGATTACATCAAGAATCCTATATTAGAGTTCAGTAACAGGTCTCAATAGGACCTTGAGTACATGTAGGAGTGATCGCTAAAGTTTTTATCTTGCGCAAGATCGCATATCGGCGCGTATGATGTAACTTAGATGAAAATAGATATCAATTATAACCCATTACTTTATTCTTATTTGTTCTAATAATTCAACATACATCGGACGTTAATTGCACACGTGCTGTGCACCGGTGTGTCAACATGATGTAGGAGCGTTTATAGTCGGTAACGATTTTTTCGTAGGGTGGCGGATCGCAAATTCGCGCGTGGGAGATTAGCTCTAAATTACCACTATTACTCATCATTGTGTTGATTACAGTCGACGTAATTGCACTCGTGCTTTCTGTGTGAGAAATCCTTGGGATCTGCTGATGCAAAGAGAGGGCCATAATACGTGCACTCAACGCGTCTTCCTTTATGGGAGCTTTCCAATCTTCCTTTTTTTGCATATGAATCGAACGTCAATTGCACTCTGCTTTCCGTTGCAGCCCTAGTGATCTGGCTCAGACAGAGCTAGCAGGAGTGGCTGCATTTTCCCCCACCTTCCTTGACATTTATTACTCTATCGGCAATTTCAGGCTACGTGCTTCTATGTGCAGACGCCGATCTACGCATCAACAAGAAACTACAGGACTAAAGGAGCTAGCAGCGACGTTGCACTCACCTCGTCTCCTTGACACGGCTGTTCGGGCCCGTGTCACTCACTAACGATCTGTGTGCCCTCTGGTGAGGTGTGAATAGCGCGCATTCGCGGCGGCCGGTCCGCGCGCCTCGTCGGTCTGGGTTCTGCTCCTTTTGTTGCGAAGACGTGCGACTCTCTGCTATCGCGTTCCTATATCTCGTGGAAATACTGTCCGGTCTGACCGAGCGTGAGGCGATAACGCGGATGAATGCAGTGTGCAAATGGGGTTTGTTCGTCCCGCGCTTCTCTCTCCCTCTTTCCGCGCTACCTTAATCTGCTTCAACTCGCCAGCTTCCGCCCCCCTCCTCTCTCCTCTCTCTCTCTCTCTCTCGTCTCTCGCTCACCGCTATCTATCTATCTAACTACTATCTACTCGTATCTATCTATCTATTATCTATCTATCTATATATCATCTACTTATCTATCACTACTATCTATCTATCTATCTATCTATCTATATTATTATCTAATCTATCTATCTAATCTATCTATCTAATCTATCCTATCTATCATCTATCTATCTATATCTATCTATTTATTATTTATCCATCTATCTATCTATCTATCTATCTATCATCTATCTATCTATCTATCTTATCTACTATCTATCATCTATCATCTATCTATCTATCCTATCTATCTATCTTTCCTCTCCTCTCTGCTCTCTCTCTCGTTCTCTCTCGTCCGTCTCTCTCTGCTCTGCTTCGATGTCACTCCCCCCGCTCTCTCTCTCTCTTTCTCTCGATCTCTCTCTCTCCTCTCTCTTCTTCTCTCCTCTGCTCGTCTCGCTGTCTCGCTGTCTCTCCCCTCTCTCTCTCGCGCTCTTTCTCCTTCTCTCCACCCCCTCTCACTTGCTCTCTCTCCCTCCCCCTCTCTTACTCGCGCTCTCTCTCCCTGTTGCTCTCTCTCTCTCTCTCTCTCTCTCCCCTCTTTGCTTTCTCTCTTTCCCTCCTTTTCTCTCTTGCTCTCTCCCTCTCTGTAGATCTATATCTTTCTCCATCTCTCTCCCTCCCTCTCTCTCCCCATCACTTTCCCCCTCTCCTTCTGCTTATACGTTCTTCATCAGTAGTGTAAAACGCCACACGGACACTTACCTTGTATGTTTTCCGCACCTCGGGCTCATCGTCCTGTACGGGCTGGTCTCCGTCCGGTGGTGGGGTGAACGCTCGTGGAGGCGGTGGTTTCTTCTCACCGTCAACCTTCATGTGTCAGTGAGGGAATTTGCAATTCGCTTTAGCAACGTAGAGACATCTCAAGGGGAAAAGCTTTTAGAATAGTTGCGTGGCGTATGGCTGGGAGCAGGTAGAAAAGGGGGCGTGGTTAGTGTGTGAATTTACTCCCACCACTCTAGGAAACCCGAGTAAGAGGCAGGTGGTGAATATATTTGTCACGGGCTGTGATTTTCACATAATATAGAGATATTCCTGTGGATCGTGGCAAGGTATGTGGCTTGTACGGGTCAGAAAGAGTGCATTCTTGACTGATGAAATTTTACTTCTAAACAAAAGCCGATTTCCAGTTTACTAATTCTGTGTCAGACGATATAGATTTTGAACATGTCATCAAACGATGTCCTCGATAAGAATAATAAAGGTCAATCTCTTGTGTCGGCATACGGCCTATTAATAATGCATATTGAAATAAACAAACGCCTCTCGGTCATAAAATAATACATTTACAGCCCGCAAGATGGCACTAGGTGGTCATTGTCTGTAATTGAGGGTACCTACTGTGTATGGACTACTGTACTGTGTAGTGAGAGAATTCTACCTGTAGCAGGACAGCTCATAAGCAAAAATTTCAACCACTAGATGGCAACCGGCAATCATTACCTGTAACACTCGCAGCTAGGGCCTGCATAGCTCGACCAATCGGAGCGCTCGCAGCTCCTCCCAAAGTGACGCCTCGTCGACCGACCAATCGGAGCTCAGGCGCTAAAGCTGATGCTGTTTTGTGGTTGCATTATTTAAGCTGGCTATCGTGAGTGGATGGTTACTGGTAAGGGTTAGGGTTAGGGTTAGGGTTAGGGTTAGGGTTTAGCTTTATATTTATCAGCTTTAGTGCCTGAGCTGTGAGCGCTCCGATTGGTAGGTCGACGACGCGTCACTTTGGGAGGTATGCAGGCCTACCTGTAACTATCTCAATACTTAGTTTAACTAAGGAGACTGCACGAGTTCTGACAATTTCATTAATCGCGTTGTTACTTGGTTTGATGGTAATTAATAAATTGAAATGTTCGCAGTCAAAGTAACGCCTTAACCACTTTTTATAGCAAAACACTATAACGTTTAATTAATAAATTTCAGATTAATCCTTTCCTTCGTGAATAATGAAAACGGCAAAAATGCACTACTAGAATAAATATATGAATACGTGATGTTGAATTTGTCAAGTTGATGTTTTTTGGTTTAAATATGACCTGAAACCTACATGCCATAAATTCAGCCACGATGGCAAACAAACAATTAAAAATCGAGCATTTTACAGTAAACGTTCATAATGACCTTCATGACGTTTCATATTTCACTTGCCCCTTAAACTCGTAGATGCCAATTTCGTGTTATACGCCTGCTTAGAGTAGGTATGTAATTAGATAATTAGATGATTAGAGAAGGTGGAGAAGGTATGCGAAGGAACTGAAACGGTCATCTTGAAACAATAATCACTTTAAAGCAATAGGTGATTAGAAGTAGAGCTATTCTCGGTTCAAAATTAATTTGGTCGAATAACTGTAAGAGTAGCAGAAGATGTAGCGAATAAGTATGAGAATACTAAGTCTTGTTATTCATATTATTAACCCAGAATTCACCAGCACCGAGCGAGTGTAATAAGTAAAGAGCAGCAGGATTAAAATAGTGATTTTTTCTCCATTTATTGCAATTTTAACAGTTGCTACACCATACACAGGATACAAAAGATGTTATATTAGTAACTTAGCAATCAGACATTCGGAAGCAAAAAAATGAGACATGTAAGTAATTCATTAATAGTGTTAGTCTAGAACAATTATAAAATATTAGTGCGTTATAGATTGACATTCACTCTCATTCAATTTCAAAGTTAATCGTCAAGATACTGAATTAACATGCACACGCGCGCGCACACGTGTTCCTGCCTACAGCCCCCCACTCGCAGGTCAACATAATTAGTAGGTGTTATATTAGACAATTCATTTATCTATGTACAACAAAGGGGACATCGAAAACATTCTGTACACATTCACTGGAAACTGTCAACGGCGTTGAAATAAAATCGAGGGGATTACATATGGCTGGATCGATTCACACGCGCGGAAAACGCGTAGATTAGTAACGTATACTCTTCGCTTGTAGTAAAGTATGTCCAGTGTTCATCAGTCGACAGGAAACATCAACATGTGTGAAGCGTTCTATCATTCACGTATCATTTGCCTACACGCACGTGTGCAGTATCACTTTGTTTTCATGCAGCTGTGGTGTACAAACATTTGCGTTGCATTCCTGGAATTTGTACATCCGATTTACAAACCTATATTTGCAGCGCCCTTCGTCGTTCATGTATTTGTACTAAACACGCGCATATTTGAAGCTTTCTCCGGGTTTATATAGCTGTGGTACACAGAATCCTTGCCTATGACCAGCCCTCCTGATATTTGTGCCTAAACGTGTCACTTGTGAAAACTTGTATGGAAACTTGAAAGAGAGAGGACAAGTAGAGAATGTAAAGCTAGGTTGCGCAGGGATATATGAGTTTCTTGTCTGTACGTTTAGTGGTCGTTACTGCACAAGAATCATGGCAAATAAAGTATACTTTCATCCGAATAAGCATAGAGATAATCTCAGAGCATCTACTTATACCTGTGACCTGGGGTGTCATCTTGACACCTACATACATCGATTACATGCACGGGTAGTTGATGACCTTTGACCTGTAAGGCGCATCAATTTCTGGGCGTTTTGACCTTTTACTATGCTTTGTGCAGGATAGTAGAAGAATTCGGACACATGATACACGGGGAGTTACAGAAGTCCATGGTCTATTATCTATATGATGCCAGTGGTCTGTAGTAACGATGATCGAACAACTACTAGCTAACGATTCACACTACACTTAACAGATGGCGCCAGCAGTTACAAGTGACAACAAGTCCTATCGCTTTTTCATGCAGATGATGTTAGAATGCTGTATAAGGCAATGTGTTGCACTACGTCAGAGAGATGGCGCCACCGTTGCTCGCCGACAACCTACGCGCCGGGTTCTCGCTGTACACTGCCATTCTATCCCGCTTTGCGCGACATAGGGCGCCGCTACTCCTCGCGAGTTGCAGTAATTACTTCACGGACCCCCTCAAGTCCATCCACGGACCCCCTCAAGCCCATCCACGGACCCCAAAGTGGTCCACGGACCACAGGGTAAGAACCCCTGTCCTACACAGTCAGCATGAGCATGCTTTACAAGGCCATGTTTTCCTGCGATGCACGACAGATGGCGCCACTAAATTCCCGCCGATCTGAAATTTCAGAGTCCTGCCACGCGACGCTGCGCTACATTCATTTCCACGCGCGACCTATAACCAATTTCCGGCGACCCTCCCGCGCGAACCAAGCCGTACGAGGCTGTTACTCCACCCCGCGACATATGGCGCCACTAGTACTTCTTTCTGACGATCTGAACGTCGCGCTCGCCGTCGTCGTCGTAAGCGACCGACGGCATCGACCGGCAGCGCTGCGGCGGCGACGGCCCGCACACGCCGCCGTCGTCGTAGTAAACGACCGCGTCGTCCGCGACCGGTTCCTCTAAGCTGCGGAACCGCGCGAGCGCGCTGTGCTTCGCCTCTCGCAGCGTGTCCATCTCCCGCAGCACCGCGCCGCGCTCCTCCGTGATCTGGCGCCCGCGGCGGCGGCGCCGCGCCGCCTCGTCGCCGGGCGACGGCGGCTGCGGCTCGGCGAGCGACACTTCGCGGATCTCGTCGCGCACCTTCTGCAGCGTCTCGTCGCTGCTGCTGCTGCAGCAACTCTTCTCCGGAGAGCAGAGCGCTGCCTTCGCCGCGTGCACGGCGTGCGCGCGTTTTACCTGCTTCAGCTCCTTCGACACCTCGATGTAGTCGGTGTCGTCCTCCGACTCGAACGAGTACGGCGACAGCTGCTCGCCCGCCGCCGTGTCGTCGGCGTACGCGAGTTTCCGTGGCGACGGCGTGCGGTCCTCCTCGTCGGATGTCGCGTGGTTGGTGATGACGACCGGTCTCCGTGGCGACGACCTCTCTTCGTCCGAGTATCTCGGCGATGCGAGGTCGTCGTCGGCGAACTGTCTCCGTGGCGACGACGCGAGGTCGTCGTCGTCGTCGTCGTCGACGCGATGTTTCCGTGGCGACGCCGACGATCGTGCGTTTATGTCGGCGATCGCGTGGCTGCTGTAGGAAGGAGCCTGCGAGAAGTCCAGCGTGGCTGGAGGCCGTCTCCCTCCTCCCTCCTCCTCTATCGTCTGGAAGCGGCGCAGCGCGGCGAGCTTCGCTTCGTGCGCTTGCTCCTGCAGCATCCTCTCCTCCTCATCCTCCTCCTCCTCCTGCTGCACGGGCGCGCGGTCCGGGGGAAGCTCGAGTGAAGGGTGAAGGTCTTCGATCCACGAGTCGCGGCTTTCCTCCGGGGGAGGAGTGATCGCGCGCGGCGGCGGTGGCGCCATCTTTTGCTGCTCAGGACGCTTCCACCCGCCGCCGCCGCCGCCGCGTTCCAGAGTCTGGAACTTCTGCAGCGCGGCGACGCGCGTCTCCCGCGCCGCCCCCAGGGTGCGCTGCAGCTCCGCCTGCCGACGCACGCACTCACCGTCCTCGTCCGACGACGACGAATCGGTATCGACGATTCCGCGGATGCTCGCCTGCGGGGGCGGGGTTATGGAGCGGAGGGGCGGAGGCTGAGCGTGCTCGGTCTGTAGGCCGCTCCCGCGCTCTATTGTGTGCCACCGCGCTCCTCCTCCTCTGCCGCTTCCCTTCTCGATCGTCTGCCACTTGAGCAGCGCCGACTGCTTCGTCTCCCGCGCATGCGCGAACGCCTCCTTCAACTCCTGGTCGTCGCGGCGACCGGTGGCGTCGCCCTCGCTGCCCGAGCTGTCTGATCGCGCGCGTCCGAAGACCAACACGCCGTCCGGTGGCGGCGTGATCGAGTGCAGCGGCGGTAGCGCCCCCTCGCGGCGGTCGCCGCGGTCGGTGACGTCGTCGTCGTCGTCGCGGCGACCGCGCTCGAGCATGCGGAAGCGCTGCAGGGCAGCGTTCTTCGTCGCGCGGCCCAGCTCCCGCGCCTCGCTCAACTCCGCCGCGCGCGTGTCCACCTCCTCGACCTCCACGGGTTCGGCGACCCCGAGCACCATCGCGAGGTCGTCGTCGGCATGGTAGTCGCGCGGAGGCGTGATCGCGCGCACGGGCGGTGGCGCATCCACCGGCGCCCCCTGGCGATTGCCCTGCTCGAGCTGCTGGAACTTTGCGAGCGCCGCCTGGCGCGTGCGCCGCGCGCTCTCGATCCGCTCATCATCGTCGTCGGCATCGTCGAGGTCGGACGAGCGGCGGTCGCCGGGCGACACCTCGTGGCCCGCGTCCTGGTACGGAAGCTGCACGTTCCAGCGTGGCGGCGGTCGCGCGCGCGGCGCGTCGTCGCGCGGCGGCAGAAACGCCTGCGGCGCCCCCTGCATGCTCTGGAAGTGAGCGAGCGCGGAGCGCTTGGACACATGCGCGAGCGCGTGGGCTTCACGCAGCTCTTGCTCCCGCTCAGCCTCGCGCGCATCCTCCTCCTCTTCCTCGTCGTCCGATGCGGGACTCAACCCGTTGAAGTCCGGCGGCGGGGTGATGGAGCGGATGGGCGGGGGAGCGGCGATGCCGCGGCGCGGCGCCAGGATGTCCTGCTCCTCGGCTCCACCTCCGCCGCTGCTCTCCATGTTCTGGAATCGCGCGAGGGCGGCGCGTTTGCTCTCCTGCGCGAGCGCGCGCGTCTCCTCCAGCTCTCGCTCCCTCCCCCGGGCATCCTCCCCCTCCCCCTCCTCCTCTTCCTCCTCGTCTTCGTAGCCGGTGAAGTCGAGAGGCGGCGTGATGCAGCGTACGGGAGGCGGCGCGGCGTGTTCGTTGTTGTCGTCGCCGGCGGTCGGGGAGCGCTTCCACGCGTCGCCGTTCTCCAGCAACTTGAAACGCTCGAGCGCTAGCCGCTTGCTCTCCTGCGCGTACGTCTGCGTCTCCTCTCGCTCCACCAGCCGAATGTTTACCTCCTCCTCCTCCTCCTCCTCCTCTTCCTCCTCCTCCTCGTGCGTGGCGTAGAGGGGCGGGGTTATCGCGCGTACGGGCGGGGGCGACCACCGATCGTGGTCATGCATGCGGTTAGTGTGGGGCGACGCGACACTCTCCAAACCCTGAAACTTGGCGAACGACTCGGTGCGACGCTCCTTCGCGTGCGCCATCAGAGCCTCGATCTCGTGCTGCGGCGAGGTGGCGGCGCCACCGTCGGAGTCGTCGTCGGACATGCTGTCGGCATGCGCTCGCTCGGCATGCAGTGTGGACGCATGCGTGTTAGTGGCGTCCGCTTCGATGCCATCGTCACCTACCTCGTCCGGCTGGCTCTCGAGGTGACGAAACTTGGCGAGGAGGCTACCTGTGGCCTTGATCTGCGACAGTTCGGATGCGAACTCGTTCTCGGTGTTCTGCGGCTTCGGCTGGTACTCGAGGTCCGACTCCATCCTCTCGCGTTCTTTCCTCAGTCGCTCAAACTCCTCCTGTGATGGGACAGAGAGAATGGCAATGGCTACCAGTGCAGAGTTGTTACATAAAGTGTAAAACAGCATACTACACCACGCGTAATAACGTGCGCACTAGAATTACTACTAATAAGTCATTAGAAAACAATAAAATTATATCCTAACTCCTCCTAGGGAACACAGAGAATGGCTTTCATTGAACAGTTGGTACACAGAATCTATAGGGGTATAATCCACCACGTTTAATGCTCGAATATGTGTCATTAAAAAGGAATAAAATTATAGGTGAACTGATCATCATATAACCAGCCAATAAGATGAAATTGACAGTGTTATCCATACTTTTTACTAATAACTATGTAGCATTTTCTTGTGTGTATATTACCTGTAATTAGTGTTACCTATGCCAGTTACCTGCAATTACTTTAGTTACCTGTATTTTGCGCTGTTTCTCGGCTGTGGCTGTGTCAGTGCTGTCACTAGCCTGACCTTCAAATTTGCCCTTGAGATTACCGAGTCCCTCGTAATCGATCTTCTCCACGCTCTTTTTGATTTCTTTCGACTTTGGACCCTCCTCGAACTTGGATTTCATCGACTTCACTTCCTCACTTGAAATGATGATCTATAGAGAGATGGTTTCAGTTAGTCGTGGTTCATGATGCCTCGATAGCTGGCACTCAGGGGCCCGTTGTCAGAAACAAAATTAGTCTTAACATTAGTCTTAACATTGACTTTTTCTCTTAGACCGTCGACAGAAACGCTGCCAAGTTACGAGAATGAAAAATCGTAGCAGATTTCCTCATGACAATACAAAACAAAGTGATGTCGACGGTCTTGGAGAAATTGTTAATGTTAAAACTAATGTTAAGACTAATTTTGTTTCTGACAACGGGCCCCAGGTTATTCACAGTTATGGAGGAGAAGTAGGAGAACAAGATACTCGCTGGGTAGGAGGAGGGTACATGGATGCAATTAGAGCAAGTCAACGCTGCTGAAACTGATCCTTCTCCTCACCTCCTCCCATTATACTCAGCTGCTCCTCTTAAAATCTCCTCCTCCTGTTGCACTAACCTCCTCTTACACTCACCACCTCCGGTCTCACTCACCTCCTCCTTTTATACGCATGGGCTCCCGTTATACTCGCCTCCTTATCGTATGCATGGTGCCTCCTCTTACACTCGCCTTCTCCATGCTACACTCGCCTCCTTCTGTTACACTCCCCTCCCCCCTTATACTCGCCTCCTTCTGTTACACTCGCCTTCCTCCTCTTACACTCGCCTCCTTCTGTTACACTCACCTCCCCCTCTTACACTCGCCTCCTTCTGTTACACTCACCTCCCCCTCTTACACTCGCCTCCTTCTGTTACACTCACCTCCTCCTCTTACACTCGCCTCCCTCTGTTACACTCACCTCCTCCTCTTACACTCGCCTTCTCCATGCTACACTCGCCCCTCCCCTCTGTTACACTTACCTCCTCCTCTGTCGTTCCGTTCTGTGTAGGCACGCCGTCTGTGTCATCACCAAACTCGCCCAGCAAGGCTTCCGATGCGAGTCTGCACGAAAGAGAAACGTGCAGCCAGTAAAAAAACCAGTAAGGAAACGTACAGCCAGTAAAAAAAAACAGCCATAAACCCCCACAATAATAATAGCCATTTATTCCACGCGTTCATCCACTTAGTGTATTAACACGCTGACCGGTTTTCCATGCTGCTTCTGTCTGATATCTTAATCCCTCAAGGGGAATTATCTCTCGGGATTAGTAAGATACCCGTATTTTATAGAACGTGTGCGTCGGTGACAGTAAACGCATTACACCGTATACACCGTACACGCAGTATACACCGTGCATATCGCTGCACGCCCTCACCTACGCGCCTGCAAGTGATCGAACAAATTTTGCGGGTTTGCGTTCATTTTGCGTTTTTTTTTCATTTTGCGTTTATTTTGTTTACATTTTGCGGGTTTCTAACGCAAAAAAACACCAGCAACGTCGATCGATAAATCGCGCATGAGAGGTTGCTGAAAAGAATATAACTTCATGGCACAGCCATCGTGATGGCTATTGTTTCCCTTTGTGTGGGTTGATGGCGCTAGCATATCAACTAGCGGATACCGTTCAGTCCTCACCTCACGGACAATCAGTTTATAAA